CACACACACACACACACACACACACACACACACACACACACACACACACACAATGTTACTGGAGTTACAGAGGCCCAGATACCACCTCAACAGAACCCTGGTGACAGTCAGGGCACCTGAGATGAGAGGGCCCAAGGGCGGCACTTACATTTCAAAAGGACACTGAGAGACCTTGGTCCCCAGGCCAGGGATAAGGAGACCCCTGCCTGAGACTCTTTGTTTGCACAACTGTGAACAAGGCTGCGAGGTCCCCTCTCCTGTTCTCTGACCTTCTCCTTTTTACACTTCTCATTGATTTCTCTCCTACACTCACATCAACCAGGGCCAAGGAAGTGGAGCTTGGAGAACATTAACATGATCTCCATCTATAAAAGTGACTAAGGGATCCTTCACCAAAACCTCCCCTTGTCTCAACTGCTGCCCATCAAGGCTGCTTCAGAACATCTTCCCTCGGTCACAAATGTACCTGAAGATAAGTATGTCCCAGATTTGAAATGAACCTTCACAGATTTATAAAGGCAAATGCTATAAATGCAGTCACTCTTCAGATGTTGAAAGACCAGGAGAGCAACACGATGGCCCCTGTCTCGTGGAGGTTCTGCGAGTCATGCTCCTGAGGAACACGGGGCATTCTCTCCACCCCCAGGAGTCACTCACATACTGTCCTATGTGCATGTCTTGCCGGGATGGCTGATTTGGGGATAAAAGTATGTAAAAATGTAAGCCTGACCATAATACATTTCTTTTCTATGACTAATTGACTAGTGTGTTGCTGTTTATGGAGATAGGCTTAACAATGCAATGATGAAATACTTAACAATGACTGTACACTGAATTTTTTCAATTTAATAATAAAAAAAAGTTCAGTACAACACTCCAGAGGTGAGCAGGGCCCTCAGCTGCAAGGGTTTTGTGTGCAGCACACTTGCACTCCAACACACCATGTCACAAATGCTATGTGTTATTAGGAGGAGGCAGATTCTGCCAGGCACATAATTTGTATATTTAAGGGAGGTGTATGGAATGAAAAAGCGAAATATGTTAAATTTCAAAGGACTTGGAAGCAATGCTGCCTGTGAGCTTGTATTACAAATAGCCCTACATTATTACATACGCTATTAATGAGGCCGAGTGAATGCAAGTACAATTTGAATATGCATGGCTCTATCCAATGAGCGGGACTTTTGTGCACTGATGAGGTTTTCTTTTTCCTCCTCAAAAAGGATTAAAATTATTCTTAGAGAAGTATGGCTGCCCAGAGATCAGTAAAATAAATGGCTTTAGACCAGTCATACTATAGTGATGAAATATACAGGTGCTAAAAGAATGTCTTTGACTCCACCTACAATTTCTGAAACTTATGCAGACCCTGTCCTCCTAAAAGGAATATTCCTCAACTTCAAGCAGCTGCATCATTATAATCTCTAGTCAAAAATAATGATTTTGGTGGGAACCTCTAAAAGTAGGCAAGGTTAAATCAAACTTTTGAGTACAAAGCCTTCACTTCCATAGCAAGGAACTCTAGTTAAAAGACCAGGGAATGGGTAAATTATTGCACCAAATGGCTGAGAATTAATCTCTGCTGACTAGCTGTAATCTAACGAGGCGTCTGTGTCCCAGGGAGCCCAGGGAGCCCGCAGCATGTCCCTGGCGGTATGCGCAGTGTGTTGAGTCTGCGTGGCACCCTTTGTCCTCGCTCACAGGCGGCCTTTCCCCTCATTGTCCGTAATATCCTCGTGCATCTGGGACGCGTGGAATGCATTCATACTAACAGACTTACCATTGTTTTCTCTCAGAAGCTTTGTTGAGCAAAGACTGCATCATGGTTACTGATAATTATATTGCTTAATTAATCAAGACAAAAAAAATTTGCAAATCATTGCCTGGTTGCCAAGCAGGGAGATAAAAAATGACAACAATACAAGCTGAAGCAATATAACAAAAGTAACAGCTATCTGATCAGAAATTCTTATATAATGAAGCTATTAATGCTAAATCGGTTAATGTTAACATTGCTCCAGGTGTCTCTACTTAGATGCAAACAAAAAGGCTAACATTATGGATATAAAAGGCCAAATGTTGCCATGGATTCTGTAACCTGATAGAGAGGACAGCCTTTTCATTTGATTAGGGAATGCAATTTAAATACCAGGGACTGAAGCCAAACAAACAGACTTTCCCTCAGAAAGCCTCTTGCATTCACCCTGGGGTCAGTGGTTGGTGAACAAAAGGTCAGCCCCACTTGCCCTGGAAATGTCTGGATTAATTTTATTACATTGTAATGGTCCCTGCTTTAAATGTAGGGATAACCCTAAATTTCCAGTGCCCATTATTCTCTTCTTCCCTTTAGGCTTTTTGAATTAAAATATTAAGAAAGCAATTTGCTCAATTCATCTTGTCAGAATTTATGACCACATTTGGAAAACTTACACGTTTTGTCAGAAAATTTAAAAGGTTAATGATTGCTTTTTTGCATCTTACACTGCTTTTTAAAAAATCATCTTGGACACTTTACAGTGAATTGAAACATCTTTCTTGATTTTCAATTACTTCAAAAATAAAGGTGACATTCCTAGGACTTTAAATGACATTTTAGAGGGCTGTTTCAAAAATGATCTGATAAAGCCAGTTGACCCACACTAAATGTCTAATTTTAAAAGCTAAAGGATACTAAATTTATTGGATCTCTAATATTATGGGATTCAGTTTAATTCTAAAATTAAAACCAGTGGTCCTCATGGACAAATATGAATGTGAGTACTAACCATCTTCCTATAGTACAAGACTGAAAACTCCACATACACAGAGGTCTAAGAAGAGACCATACCAACATTTACTATGAATCTTGGCCTCATCCCTCTATGGACTGAGAAGAGGGCTCCCTTTACATCAGCCCTCACACCAGCCAGAGCAGGATGCTCCCAGACTCAGGGGTTAACCTACACTTCCCCAGTTTGAGAATTACTATATGTGATAAACATAGACTTGATTATTGATTTTATTTCTATGTTAGTAATTATAACAAAAATACTAAGGTGGTGATAAAATAATAAGAATAATATCTAACACTGAAGCAGCCTTTACTTTGGACCTGGCACTGGTCGAAGCACTTTTTACTTATTAGCTCACTTAATCCTCACAACTTTAATACTTTAGATTAGGTTATAAATACCAATTTAAGCAATAAATCTCAGTGAGTGACCTATTTTAAATCTTGGAGAGCCTTCACAATGATATTTTTCATCTCCTTCAAGAGAAAAAGTTGGAATGAAAATGAAGGTTATATTTAATATCAAGCCAAAAATGGAGTCATTTTTTCTTGAGTAGCTTAATATGATAAATATTTAATGTTAAAACTTAAAAAACCTTCCTAATAATTCCAAAACAAAAATAACTCACCATAGAAAGCACTGTTAAAATACCACTGAAGGCATGACAGAGATTGAAACTGCAGCCAATTTAGAACAGGGGACAGAGACCAGATTGTTCCAGCCACCCCCATGATCAACAGCAATTGACAGACTGCACCGATTCTGGGGCAAGGTGGTTAGACTGTTAAACCTGTCATGGGGTCTCTGCCCACAGCCAGTCCCTTTGAGAACATGCCCTCAGTGCTGACCCCATTAGCACACATCAGGGCTCAGCAGCAAAGTCCATCCATCACACAAGGCTGGATTCTACACCCACAGTGTCCCCTCAAATGCTAGGTGTGATAATAGGGTTCCTTCAACTCTTATTATGAACCAGTGTGCCCCAAATCTAATATTAGAATATTTAAAAAATAACAAATTTTTAAAAACTTAAAATATTTTGAAGCATACATTTCTTTGGTATAATTTCATAGAGGCCAAGTAATGAAATATGAAAGTTTGAGCTCATGATCAAAGATTCTTTGAAGATCCCAATTTCTACTGAATTCTTATATAGCACATATAATGTAGATATACGTAAGACAGTCACCAGTTGGAGATGAGTCCCTTTTAGCAAAATCAGACAACTGCTTTTCAGCGACAGTAACTCTTATGGCAAATGCTGTGAGTCAGGACAATGAAGCAGGAGAGATGTACCTCAGGTTTCTTGGTTATGGTGATAAAGAACATGTGGTTCTTCATTGGGTAAATGATGATGGAAACGTCGCCAAAGGCCGTTGGGATGATGCCCCTGCGGTAGTCCCTGGAGTGTTCAGACCAGACGATGTGGACCTCATCATTCCCCAAGTGACGGAGCTGTAACAGCAAATTGGTGCTTTATTAATCAAGGGGTAAAAGCAGTTTGTGAGGGGTTGAGGTTTCCCAGTGGAACTACAAAATGCTAAGGAGAAAAAAAGGCCAACAAGCAAAAACAAAAAACCTCCACTACCAAAAAAAGGTTCCATCACTGATGTCTTCTACTGACCTTAAAAAGTACCATTCCACACAAAGCTCACTGTCTATGAAGCACATCTGGTACTAAGACCGGGCATCCTGGTATCAAGGGCACATTATGGCTGGATGGGGCCTAGACCTTGCCAAACTTTTTTTAATGGAGTTTTACTTCTGCATCAGAGTCATAGGCTTTATATTGCTGAGCAGGTTGCTAAACAATTATTGACATAAGTGTTTTATTCCATATTACATTAATACTTTAAAGCTTCTAATTCAATGGCTATTAAGAAAATAAGGATATAAATATAAGAGAACATAAGCCATTACAACACAACTGTTAACAAATGTATAAGAAACTAGTATTGTGGCAAACCTTTAAGAAAAAGCATATATCAACTGCCTTTGTTTAGGAAACAGATATTACTTACATGTGATGGGACCCTAGAAGTGAGCTTTTTTAAAGAGTGCCTCACTGTGTGCCAAGTTGTCGTCACATACTGTTGGCTGAATCTACCCACTATCTCTGATGACAACAACGACTAAACCATGATGGCACCACATCAACATTTTCTTATCACACAAGGAGAAAGCAGGGCTCAGGGAGGGAAAACTCTGCCTGCCCAGGATAGAGAATGGGGCTGGGCACCTGGGCAAGGGCCACCTGTGCTGTCCCTCAGCTAGCTAAGCTTGCACTAAAAGCTATCTACTGTCATAGCTCAAGCAGTTTAGCAGGCTTGCTTTATCATTTTATACACAAAATGGGTTGCAAAGTCTGAGAACAAATCTCTCTGAGTGGTCAGCGCAGGAAGGCCTCTGGGGAAAGATGCTTTACGAGTTCTTCGGGGCCAGCTCCACCAGATGCAAGATGCCCTTGATACAGCTCCATTGCAAGCTGGAGGAAGTGCATACACATGGGAGGAGCCCAGGAACATGACTAGAAGAAACTAGATGCTAAAGATTTAAAGCCTGGCCCAAACTGAAGCCATGATGCTGTGCAGGGCACTGGTGAATACCACTGATCCCTGCAGGGACCTGTGGCTTCTGTCTATTGCACGGAGTGGGCAGAACTGAGTGTCTATCATTGTAAACAAACATTTCCTGCTCTTTTGCTTATCTAGTAGATGAACACTAGAAGCAACCAAGTTACAAGCACCTTCATACAATGAAGATGCTGTGTTAAAGCTAATGTTTTAGTTTTGTCTTAAAAGATAAAAAGGATACTCTCCAATACTATGCAGTTAAAGCATGATGGCATACATATTATTTTCTTTATAGACTACTTGACCACAAAGAAGAAATCCAAGATGACCCCAATACGGCCTCTTTTCCATGCATAAGGTTACAAAGAAAGCTGTTTGCTGCAATGCCTGGGTATTCTTCCCTCTCATACTTCTAGGAATGATGGTGCAAGTCAATTATCTAAAAAGTGCCTTGCACCTGGACCTTTGTACCTATACTGAGTGTGCACGATTTAATTGTGTCTGAACATGGGCTCTGGGACAACTGCAACTGTGGGGGCTGAGCACAAGTCACGATGATTCAGAACAATTTAATGGAGTTGACCACTTTCAAATGCAAAATTATCCAGGACATCTTTTTTTCTTCTCCCTCACTATCCTTACACAAATATAAAGGTTAAGGGGGTACTAGGCAAAAAATCTAGCCACAAACAATTAAAAAATACAACCCTGAGTCCTCAAAGTAGGGCTGAACACCTTTCTCTATGCCTTCTTTTTCTAGTACTAGAGGTGAAACCCAGGGCCTTGTGCATGTTAGGCAAGCCCTCTGCCTCTGAGCTACACCTCAATCCTATTCCCATCTTAGATATTACAGCATTTCTTTCCATCCATCTTTCCTTCCTCCCTTCCCCCCTTCCTTCCCTCTCTCAATCTTTCTCCTTTTCAATAAAAATGTAAAGACCTCACAGAACACTCCTGGCAAGTCTGTTTTTCAGAGTGCAAACACATAGCACTGCCAACAACACATGACAGGCAGGTTTCCAAAGGCAATGAGGACCTCTAACTGAAATTTTGGGAGGAATTTCAAACAGTAGAAGGTAACATGAACACTTGGGCCTACAACCCTCATCCTAGAAAGACAGCCTACCTCAGGGAGTTCTGGGCTGCCTGGTGTAGTACTGGAACACACATCCAAAGGGGAACAACCTACCTAACCAAACACCTCTCAAACGTGCTACTACCACTTGATTCCAGCACCTAACACTACAATAACTCCCTTTGATCTAGAGCTATATGGTGCAATGTGTGAGCTCTGATGTGAAACAGTAATTGCTGAATTTCAGTTACTCTCCCCTTTCTACATTGGTTACTCAATTATACTATCCAAGTAAGTCTCTCCTAATTTTATTTGCAACTGGGATCTCAGAACTGTATCATGGGAGAGCAGTATCACACTAAAAGGCCCTTCCTCCCAGTGAGGTGGTTCTGTAATTAAGGAGGAGCTATTTTTGTGTGTTAATAACACAATATTCATCATCTCAGAGCTGCTTTCAATGTCATGAGCCTCAGACTTTCTGGACGTGTTACAGTGTAATTAGCTAAATCACAAAACTAAGAGCTAAGGCCACAGGATCAATTGGCTGGTAAATATGGAGCAAAGAGCAAAAATACTCTTTCTCCTGCCTATGACAAGAACACAAGTAGGTAAAACAAATCCAATAAACCAGGATGAGCTGTGCACCTTCGAGGACAGCACAGCACACCCTGGCAACCAGAGTGGCACTTGGGCTAAGGGTTTCGACACAGAGGCATTACTTTGTGTTTTGGAACTTTTGAATTAGAATCCCACTGTAGGGCAGGCTGATGTGTGCGTGGGCAGCAGACAGGAACAGACCCATGCCAGCTTCCACTCCCTCTTCTATGTGGGTTCTGGGAGGTCCGGTGCTCACCGGGGCTCCAGACATATGCCCCAGGCCCTGTCACTTCTTGTCCTGACAGAGTTCTAAGTCCCTCTGCCTGGGCCACTCTGCCTGCTGCTGCCAGGCTGTACGCCACCGGTGACGCTGTCATGGTCCATACCTAATGGGCTGACCTCCTTTCCCGACTAATTGCATTACATCGCCAGCTGGCTCCAGAAGGAGTCGTCTGTTTGATTGAAGAATTCCTGCTCCTCAGTGGGCCCGGCTGCTACTTTTACTAAGTAACAGTCAGGCTTGACATCCCCATTGTTCAGCTGACAGTGTGCCCATCCTAAAATCTAAGTTTTATTTGTAAATTAACCAAGAAACTTCCTGCCAGAACAGCGCTGCCTGGAGACTGATAATGTGGGCCTTTCATCCCCTTTCACTCGCACTGTATCACTGCCAATTTGTTTTTTATTTGGCTGGCCAGCCTGAGGCTATAAAAGCCTTGTAAGACATAAGTGCAATTATAGTCCTGGAGTCAAATGAATTGGACAAATCCAATAGCACAGCTCTGTCCCCACTCTGCAAACCCCTACAGCAGTTAGATTAGCTGTGAAAAATCTAATCTAGCTGGAGCTAACAAATTTCTGCAGTGAAGGACCAAGAGTTCACTGTGGGGTTGCAACCAGATTGTAGAACTGAAAAAGTCCCCCCATGACAGGGGCAGAAGGGAGCGTGAATCACTTTAGAATCTTGCAGCTCATTTTTAAGCTGTTAGGGACAATTTAGTTAGAATAAGATGAGGAACTGTGGGCTGCTGTTACTGTGACTGATTTTTAGTCTAGCTGTGAGACATCCTGATAAAGAGAGTTTATTGCTAATGATGCTAAATCTTAGCGCTGCAAAAGGTATCAGCTGAATTTAGATTATTACAGTAGGGAATCTTTCAACCAGACCAAGACTTGGAACATTATTTATAGCATGACAGTTTGGCTTTTCTCAAGAAAACAAAAAACCAATCTGCTTCTGTTAAGAAATATTTAAAAAAATTTGATATGTCAATCTACCTTTTAATAAAGCAGTTCTGTCTTAAGAAAAATCATAGAATAGGGTGACATATTTGCAGAAGAACAACAATTCACAAGGTTCCTCAAATTAAAAACAAACATGTGACCCAGGGCTTAGGGCAGTGATGGAGAACCTTTTAAGGACTCAATGTCAAACTGCAACCCAAAACCCACTTATTTATTGCAAAGTTTCAACACTGTGACTAAACCTGAACCCTGAGGTTTTAGTTTAGAAAAAAACAACTCTTTATTAATATCTTCTGTCTTAAAAGAAAAACATAATAACATGCATGCCATAGGTTCGACTCCACAGGCTTAGGGTCTCTGGAGGCTGCACAGACTGAGCCCCAAGCAAGGGAGCCCCTGGAGGGCAAAGTTCCCTCCCTCTGAGCCCCAGACACCAGTTTATGGCAGTCCCCAGCCATGGCCCCCATCCAGGGATGTCACTGCAGTGTACAGTGCTCGGGTGAAAGGATGGGGAGTGTCTCAGTGCAAACTGTGCTTTGTACACCCGAGACAGCTGACCACTATGCACGCTGTCTGTGACTGGGCTGTGACCCAGGTTCTGATGTTCCACATGCATGGTTCCCCACCACTGACATAGACCTGATGTCTGTGGCTGCAGTGGAGAAAAGTAAAGCCACAGAGAAGAGAAATGAAGGAGGTACAGTGCAGCCCATGAGCTGACACCAATCATCTGGCTATGGCCCAGGGTAGAAAGAACCAACTAGAGCAATGGGAAATGACCAGGGTTGAGGTCAGGGAGAGCTTCCCAGGCACTGTGCTAGGCAGTCTTGCAGGCATCATCTCATTGACTTCACTCAGAAACTGTTTTTAATCTTAGTCAATAGGTTAGAAACTGAGGCACAAGCTGGTACAGTGACTGGACACACATTTGCACTTGAGTCCACAGAGCCCGAGGCCTGGCTCTGCTCAAGTCATCACACTGCCTGGTGGCCTTCCTTAGCCCAAGGGCTGTCCTCGCTCCTTGTGGCTCTAGGCTCCAACACCTGCCAACCAGAAGTGTGCTTGGCACAGTTGCTCTGGGCCTCAGCTATGGCTCCTTACTGGACAAGTTCCTCTTCTGGGAAGTTGTTCCTCATGCCTAAAGCAGGGTCACCTGAGGTGTGAGCATCCTACAGGCCACAAGGAACAGGGCTATGTTCCTTGGGAATACTGCCCCCAGGGGAAGGCTGAGGGAGAGCGGAAGGTGCGCAACAAAAGTGGGGTGGCATCATCTGCACTTGTCATGTGGCTTCTGCTGTCAACTTGCCCTACAGGCCAGAGCTGGGGTGGGCATAGAGGCAGCCTTCTCAGAGCCCCCAGTACTTCTGGCACAAAGGTCATTCCATGTGACCTTTGCCAATCTGTGAGTTAACAACGTTACTTTCTGTCAGGGGATACTAATGTGAGGGAAGACCCCAAAGGAGCAACATGAAAGGCCCTTTGTTTCACAATCCTCCATCTCAGTCCTTAAGCTTATGCCAAGCTGGTTAGTAAAAGCCATAGGGTCACTGAGTCCTGAAGACAGTGGCTGGGTCTTCGTGTACTCTGAGGATGGCCATGTCTACACCAGGACAGCGAGGATGGCCCCCAGGGAGGGAGGCCCCATACCTTTTTGGTGAGGGAATCGTCTGAGTCCGATGGCATCCGAGTGGAAACATGAAAAATCACTTCCACAGTGGAGGTAGCGTAGTAAGGGGCAGTCTGCCCAGTGCTGCCATTGCGCTGCAGGCCGCCCATGAAGCCGCAGTGGGTAGAGAGATCCACCTGGGGAGGCCACACAGAGAGGAAAGTGGTCAGACATGAGCTGTTCCTCCTCACCAAGTAGGAGTGAGGATTTAGCAAAGTGAGCTATTTTCATTTCCATAGCTTTCCTTCTGGTCACATATATAGTAAGGTCAGACATGATTAAAATGTTAAAGACATGAACATTAAAAATGAAATTGCTCTGTAATGCTATCACCTTAAAATCACTACAAAATTTTAAGGGCTGGAGGGTGCAGCTCAGTGGTATAGCATTTTCCTAGTGTGCACAAGGCCCTGGGTTTGATCCCCAGCTCTTTACAAAGAAAGCAACCTCCTTCCCCAATTTTGCTGTATATTTATCTAACTTCCCCCTTCGAGTGTGTGCGTGTGTAGTAGTCTCCATCTATTTTCAGGGTATATGTCCCAACCCCCCTAGGGCATGCCTGAAATCACAAATAGTACCAAGCCACCAAATCCTATATGCATATACCATTTTTTCCTGTGTATACATGATAAAGTTTCATTTCTAAATTAGCACAGCAAGAGATCAACAACTAATAACAGGGCAATGTTAACAGTTCACTGTAATAAAAGCTGTATGAAGGTGCTCTCTCTCTCGGAGTACCTTTGAGGAAGCACTCCAAGGCTGGGTAAAGGAAGCACTCCTGCTCTATACCCAAGGTCAATGTCCAGGCAAACATGCACAGACACACCCACGGCTCCCCACTGGTGGGTCTGTGGGGAATCTGCTCTCCTAAGCCAGAAGGAACTTTGGGAAGAGTGGTTTTCTGAGTTGCTGGGTCAGGAGTACAGATGTCACATAATTTAGTAGTCAATGCTCAAGTGCCTTTCAAAAGGTTGTTCCAGTTTACACTACTACCAAAAATCTATGAGTCAGAACCAATTTAGGGTTACAGTGTGAATGCTCACTTCTTAGTGCCTCAACCTAAATTTTTTAACTCATCATGAAGGATTATTCTTTCAGTAAAGTACCTATTCTAACACAAAAGAAAGAAATAGAAAAGTCTATTCGGTGCCAAGCATACTCCAAATTAATGTTCTAGTCTTTTCTTAAGACTTTAGTTGAGAATGTATGCTTGAATAATGCATTAAATAAGTAAATATATTCTATGACAAATAAGAAGCACTCTTATTAGCAAGAAGAACAATGATTTATTGGAAGGACAATGGGTCTTGAACTAAAACACACCATATGTTTTAGGAAGTGCATGGTCTTAACTTTGATGTTGTCTTACTCTGTCCCCATCTTTCCAGCAGGCCACTTACTAAGGCTGAACCCTGAGAGGCAAGCTGTGCTTATGCACCCTGGAGTTTCTCTTTAGCTCAGATAACTGAAAAGCCAAAACAAAAGAAAATGTTTAAAAAGTAAGAAAATAATTTTAGGTATTTTGATTTCCATTTTAATTGCTCTAAATTATTTTCAGATGCTGGGGATATATTTTCTTTAGATTTATGTTCCTAAGAGACAAATATACATCTGTTTGTGTGTTTAAGTCAGGGTACCAATCAAGAAAATGCTAAATTTTCAATATCAGTCATCCTAGGGATCTATGTTAGGATAGGTTGATAGGTAATCATCATGGCTATTATACTCTAGTTTCATTTCAGCTTTTGACTTTATCCAACACTTTCTTCACCTTTTCTCCTACCAAGCCACTGTTCTTCTCCGATCTCTATACTATGGCCAAAGCCACGGCTTTTCTGCCCACATTTTTCCTCTTTTACTGTGTATAGCTCTGATACAATGCAAATGACAAAATATCACAGGGAAAGTCGAGGAGAAGAGTTCACATACAAGGTACTGAAAAGCAGCCAATAGAAGATGTTAAGTTCAAAGGATTCTTCAGTTCCTACTCTCTGTATGTAAAACCACAGGTAAGAATAGTTCATACACAACTTTAAACAGTGGTGATCAATAAAACTCCTACTGGATGAAATTACCTCCCATCCAAGACCAGCAACGAAGTCTTCATAAGCTTGGCTTCCTCTTTCATTGGAGAGGATCGAACACTTGTCTTCTTGACCTTCAGCAATGTAAAACACTGCAATTTTGTGTGTCTCCCGGCTATAAATTTTTAAATTTAAATGTTAGAATTCTCACATATATTTATTTTGTTGCTGCCACCAGTATGATTACTCTCCTGGAGAGCTTATATTCATTGAGAATGACCTAGGGGTCACTCACTGTCCTAAGACACGTTGACACACAACCTCACTCTTGCAACTGCTCTAAGGAGATGAACACTATTATCACCTCGCCTTACAGATGTGGTTGAAAGGAGGCACAGATGTTGAACAAAAAGTGAACAAAACAAGCAGGAGACTGGGAACTCAAACAACGCACTCTGGTTCCTGAGATAACAAACTCAAACACAAGATGCACTCAACAGCAGCAGGTAGCATTTGGCAAGTTCTCTCCTTTTTGGGAAAAAGAATAATATCTTTAAAGGATTTCAAATAAGATACTGATTGTGAGCAGACTGATGTGACTACCCATATTTCACTGTCTACACTGAGAAAAGCCTACTGGGTAGCTCTGTAATTGCAACTGCACACTACACCAAATCTTTATGAGAAAGAGAAACTTCTTTCAAACAGACACACACAGATGTCCTATCTGTGGAAGGGTATGCAGACCCTATGCTCTAACTTTCTGATGGTACTGGCAGGGTGGACTGATGTCCGAGAAAACTTCTTTTAGCCATATTAACCCTTCATCTACTTGGTCCATGATGGATTTGGGACAGTTTACTGTCAAATCAAGATGATCTAAACTTTGCACAAAGGAATACTATCTTTTTATTTTTTGCACGTCTAGCATAGGACTGGTGCATAGCAGAAGCTCAGCCAAAATGTGTTCAATCAACCAGTATCTGGTGGTCTAATTGGATGTCTTAATAACCAGCTTCTACAAGTTACACTGTGGGGGAAAGTGCCTAAATAACCATCAAGCAATTTGGTGATAGTTTAGAGATGAAAACACTTTTTATTCCAATAGCACTTTATTTAAGAATCACTCATACCATGCCCCATCATCATCCATGAGTTCTACTGTAGTCTGTGATTTTTAAATATTAAATTACCACTTTCAGAATAGTTCTACTCTTCTCTTTTGCACTACATTCTGAAAAATCTCATAGAAAAACTATCAAGTGCTTAACAATACAGAAATGTTTTTGTTGTCTAATACAGTATCTCCACATTGTAATCTGATTAGACTTCCACATGGGTAGAACTGGCTCCATATTTTAACAAAATTTTCTAATTTTTCCTTCTGTATGGGTTATTTTTCTACCCAATACACACAACTAATTGAAGTTCAACTAAAAAGTAATATACAAATAACTGGAGGAGAGGTCTTTTATTCTATTGATTTAGGTAGCTATTCACTTACCCCATAGTTTTCATATAATAAACATACTTGGAACAATAATTTTAAAATATAGAAAACAAAGAAGGGAATAAAAAGAAAAAAAAACACTTGCAGCTGGACATGGTGGTGCACACCTGTGATCCCAGCACTCAGGAGCTGAGGTCAGACAATTGCCATGAGTTCTAGGCCAGCCTGGACTACATAGTATGTTCAAGGCCAGTTGAACTACCCAGAGAAATCCAGTCTCAAAAAACCAAAGGGAAAAAAACCTATTAATCTAGGATGTATTTTTGCCTATAAATATGAAATATGAGAAATTACTATATTCTGTTACACAAATAATTTTACGTCTAAAATATTTGTGAGCACTTTTAAAAACTCTTGGTAAGATACACAAGGTAAAATTCACTATTTTAGCTTATTTTTGATGCAAATACTTTCGTATGGTGTGCTTCTATAATAGTTATTTTTGGTTTTGTGGTGATGGATCCATTATTTTGATAAATCATATCCCAAATCATTAGCTAGTTGTTCCCCTTTTAAAAGACATTTTCATATTATTTTTCCTTAAAGATAACCCTTAATCTTTAAATCTTTTGACAAGACTTTTATGTCCTTAAAATAAATTCAGAGAGGACTGCTTGGTCCCTGGACTTTCTAAGGCTTTGATACCCACTGTGCTGTGCCCGGCAGGCAGGATGTGCTGAGCCCTGCCCAGGTGTCTCCCTTAATGGAGACAGGTGCTGCAAGGAGGGAAGGTTTTGTGATGATGGATCCTACTGTGCATGTGAGTGTATGTATGATACTGTAGTAGAGACCTTATGCTCCCAGACAGAGAGACAGACAGACAGACAACTTGTCCTCACAGAGTAGGGAGCCCTGAAATTGCCACGTCACTAAGGGGCTCCTCAAATCTGTCCATCCCATCCCAGGAGGTATGATAATTGGGGGGCTCAGAGGATGACAACAGCTATTCTGACCTTTGTCCTAGAAGGTTGTCTTAACAAAAGAAGAAAAAAGTATAGCTATTCAATTTCTTTCTGCAGCTTTCTCTACATATTGAAAAGTCCTCAGCATTTAACTTTTCTCTGTTCTATAGACATTATATATGTAAAAACAGCCTCAGGTTGAACAGAGATGTTTCTGTTTATTTTCCTTAAAGTTGAAGCTTTTCCTGTCATAGCTGCTTATGGTCATCAAGCCCTCATTAACTCAACCTAGAGGCACAGCACTGAGCCCCAATGATGCTATGAAGGAAAGGTGACCTTTCCTTGTTGTGTTCAAAAATTTCACATCCCTGTTAGCACCACAGAGTGGCTGCTTGGAAGCAGACACCATGTGTGGCCCTATTAGAGCCAGTCTTTGAAATGGTAATTGCAACATCAACAGTGCTTCATGGTGCACGTGCAGTGCATGGAGAGACAGGTAATTCAGGAACACGGACATGAAACCAACAATTTCCCTTCCTCATTAGGATGTGCTTCTCTCTTGTAATAGGAATGGACCAGAATAGCTCAGTTTTCTTGTGCTGTCACAGGAAAGAGTCAAACACAGAAGCCATGATTTTCACACTACTCCTCCTGCCCTCCGTGGTGGCAAGAAGGTACCCATATTTAAAGGTTCCTCCTGTGATCTGTATGTCCGTCCATCTCACTGTTGCTTTTGCATATTTGCTAACTTCAGAAGAGTCTGCAGTTGCATGACAGTCTCTGACTTGCATAAAGACATGTCAAGAAGGAGTTATGCTTTCACAGGAGTGATATACATTGACACTGGAAATAAAAATGTCCTAACTGAAGGCTGAGGAACAAGAAGTATTCTGCTTACTATCTGACTAATCTGTAGGAGAGTCCAGCTTTCTCATGGCTGAAGAGTCCCAGTCTTAGACCCCCACCAAGAGCCTTGAAAATACCCTTTAGCATAAAATAAATAGATACAAAAGTAGATTTCAAGAAGACACTAAATCCAGGAGTTTGGGTTTTAAGTGAAGGTTAATCAAGGGACATAAGATTGCCAATCAGCAACCTAGAGCTATATTTTACTGCAACAACACCCCAGGGAGCTAATTCAATTGCACCTCATGCAACTAAAGTGCATTACCATTCAACAAATTAGCCACAATTATGATACCAATGTATTCACTTAACACTGAGAAGTAGGGAATAATTCAGCATATGCTAGAAGAGCTGAGTTTGGGACTCACATGACTGCTAGCTGAACACTGAAGGACAAGAGGGAGAAGGAAGTAAATCCCTGAGTTCTTCACAAGAAATCCCTCATGGAATTCCCAAAGAACTCAGTTTCTGTTCCATTTGTCTGCAGAAAAAGAAGCACCTGAGGCAGGAGCCTGAATCTGAGGAAGGGTACTGTGAGGAAGAACAGCTTCAGGTTCTTCATCTCTCGAGACTCAGATCTTTCTCTGTAAGTCTCATTTGGTAAATCAGGAAATAAGACACATGGGATGGTCACGGAGCTGTGGGGCTTTGGGGCTCAAGACAGTTCCTTTCCCCAGGGTCAGCTGGAGCGAATCATTTCAGCTTTGTGTATTTCTTTCTTTTTTTTTTTTTTGGTACTGGGGATTGAACGTAGGACCTTGTGCTTGACAGGCAGGCACGATGCCACTGAGCTAAATCCTTGGCCCTTAACTTTGTGTATTTCTTGATACTAAATTACTTGCCACTCTCCAGACAGCAGTATGACCACCTAGAAGCAAAGGCCCTCACCTGGCTTCTCCAGAGCAAATGAGGCCCCCAACTGTCATGCAGGGACATGTCCATACTCAGAAAGCACACAGGGCCAGCAAGGGGCTCAGTGTGCATGTGGTTGTAGGAAGCTATGGTTTCCTGAGGGACAGGGAGAAAGGAGACACATGGAAGGGGAGAAGAGTAATTAAGAGAAATGGGGAAAAATAATGAACAAACCTATATACATCCCTGACTCCCAGAAGACAGCTCAAGTAAAGTGTCTTCATTCTACGTGTTTCTGAAGGACCAAAGGACATAGAGCTATGAGAAAGCTTGGGGATAGAGCCTTTGAGCCTTCTGAAGGTCAGCAAGCTCTCTATCCCTGAATGGGACAGCTAACCCTGAGGTATTTAAAAGAAAAGTGTAACTGGAATATACGAGATACATTTATATTCAGTTCAAGAATTCAAACCAACAAGGAAGAATCACAGTGGTTAATCTGATACACTAACCATAGTGGCATGAAGCAAGAATTTGCCTGAAGAGGACGCTTGCGGGCCGCCATACCCCCAGCACACAGGAGGTAAGCCACTCCCAGCGCAGAAGGAGAGGCTTCCGGGCCGCCGTACCACCCCCACCAGCACACAGGAGGTGAGCTGCTTGGGCGCCTGCAGCAACCCCTTCCCCTGTCAAAATGAAAAGACATGTAAACAAGTCTCAAAACCAGACTTCCAGATCACCTACAGCAATCCCAAAGGCAAAGGAGATGGAACACTCTGATACTCAACCACCTGGACTCCCTGGACTGGCAACAAAAGAGGATCTGGAAAAAATGAAATCAGAAATAATTTCTCACATAACAGCAGAGATTGTGCTCATAGTGCAAGACATGATTAATAAATCTAGAGAGGAGCTCAGGAACATGATGGAATCCCAACATAGGAAACAAATGGAATCCATAAAACAGATG